TCCATTGTACCCTACTCCGTTGTTTCCAATAATCATCATTCTCGCCATACAACTTCTCGAGTTGCCCTCACAAATTACCAAGAATTTGTCTCGTTTCCATAGTCTGCGTTCCAATGCCGAGTGAATGAATTTTGTCCTCGAGTTCCTTGATTTTCTTTGCCAGCCCCTGCCCCGACGTTCGCCAACGTAGAAAGACAGCTCGGCAATCGGAGGTCCGAGTGAGCAATGTTTCGACCGGGTTACGACCCGTATTATTTTCCCAGGCACGGCTGGCCAAGTCCTCACAGTCTTCTCTCCAGATCCACAATGATTCAAACCGGAATGGTCTGCGAGGAGACCGCCTATTTTGTCCAGGGCTGCCACACAGGCTAAGAAGGATCGGGGAGTGATCCGATCCCGTACACTGGAGATGATGTACTGTAGGGGCTGGGCATTGTAAGGTCCATTGGCCTGAAGCACAAAACCTGTCCAATCTACATCTCACGGTGTTTGGGTGTTCTCTTCTGTTACACCATGTAAAAGTGTAGCCGTCGAATCCAAGATCCGATACTTCACAGTCAAAAAGACAACTTCTGAAAGCCTGAATCTGACTAGGAGTTCTGTCAGTTCCTCCTTCCTTCTCATGATTTCCAGCGATTTCATTGAAATCTCCTCCGATGAGCCAAGGCAGTGAGCTCTGAGCATGTAGAACCCGAATAATATCCCACGATTCCCGTCGGCGTTGCACTTCTGGGAATCCATAAAAGCTAGTGCACCTCCACTTGGTGCCCAAAACTAGATTGGACACCTCTACGTCTATATGATTTGGAGAATATGAAAGTAGTCTCACGTCCACCTCTCTAGACCACAACATCGCCAGTCGTCCTGCACGTCCAATTCGATCCACCGAAATGCCAAAATATTTCCATCTAAGTTTCAATTTGTCCACCAGTCTAGATGTTGCTTTCGTTTCCGAAAGGAACACCAATGAGGGGTTGTGCTTTCGGAGCATCACTCCGAGTTCATGAATTGTCAGAGGACCCCCCAGCCCCCGACAATTCCAAAATAGGCAACTCATTGGAGTCGGCGAGGCTGCCCCGCAGCCTGCGCCGATGAATCTGAGGGCTCGTCGATAAGGGATAGCTGAGTTTTCTTTGATGCTCGTTGCTGCTCAAGCACCATATTCTCGTCAGCTTTCTTCTTCCGACTATTGTGAGTGGCCGATAAGAATTTTTTGCCCGCGCATTTTCTTGCTTGGTTGTCTTGTATGGTGATATTATTAGTCACCAATTGTGACTCATCCCACACCTCCATAAGCATATTTTCTTTCCCACTCACCGGGGCTGTACCACTTGTCTCGCCTGAATTCGCCACTAGTGCTAGTGGCGGGGCAGCTTTTAGAGCCTGTAGTGGGAGTCCTGTGTTGGGGTCATTTCGGTTCGTCGACGCACGAAGCCACACTCCGTATGGGAGGTACTCGCCTGGATCAATAAAGTTTTTTTCATAGCGACTAGGACAACGGTTGTCCGCATGACCGACAATGCCGCAAAGGAAGCAGAAACCGGGAAGACGTTCGTATGTGAAAGAGATCCACTGTTTGTTGTGGAACTCATCATGAATAGACATGCCTCTCTTAAGTTTCTGGCGCACATCGACTTCAAGCCTTACACGGATGAAATCTCCATATTCCCCAGTACGTGGTTTCAATACTTCTATGACGTGCCCAAGCTTTTCTCCTACCATTGACGCCGTTTCGGTGTTCCTTTGATGGATCGGAATGTGATGGACCCTGACAACTACGTTCATCGTGTTGAGATCCACGGAGTTTGGATCTGTCCCATCCGGTAGTTCTTGGAAGAGGACTGCATATCGATCGAGGGTCCATGGTGCTCCGCCGAGAGCATGGGAAGCGTCCAGTTTGTGATCAAAAGTCATCACAAACCTATTCTGACCTACCGACATGAAGGAGTACCTCTTTACCGGATTCAAGAGTTTGCCAATGTTTTGTTTGATGGAGTGCGCACTGATATCTTTGTTGGCCACAACCCTACCCACAACTGTGAAGCCCGGATTTGCTGCCCTAGGGACCCGAGCCCCTAGTGGAACCAACAGGCTTTCCTCCTCGTCGGTTGTGAGTGTTACAGTACGGGCTAATTTTGCTGAGAGTTCTTCCATGATGGGTGAGATGAGAGTGGGGAGATAGTTCACAGGTGTCGTTATGGTGATGCGCACCCACCGCCAATCTATACTGAGAAAATAGGGTTAGAAAATATATGAGGAAGAAACCCTAGCCGCCGTGAGGTGAAATATACATAAAATAAAAGGTAAAGAAAGCCGTAAAAGGCAGGTGCACGATATAAGCAAAAAAACGATCAAACTGTCCGAGGTAGACTAAGATGTTGCAAGCAGAAAGATTCGAAGGCCATGATGAAGAGAGTAAAAACCCCCCGCCTCTCAGTTAGAGAGAAAACGCCTCTTAGTTAGAGAGAAAAAAAATCCTCCCCTGGCGTTTCTTACTTGATATAAAAATGAGGTTACAAAATTTGGCACTATGAAGTCAGTGCCTATGTGAACCAGTGCCACATGCAGGTGCCCGTCCAGTCCTACGCTGCCTACCATCTCAACGAATGTCAGGTTCTGCCGGTACATCAGCAACAAACTGGGTGTCATCCAGTGGATATGGAACAGGGGAAATATTATACTGTGGTCGGATCCGCTCTTGGGGACTTGAGTATCCCAAGTTGAGCTGCAAATGTGGATCCCATGAAGAGAACCGAGTATCAATAGCAGGAGGATATGGGGTAGCTAGAGAATCGGACCATGGCATATCTGGAACGTAATCATTAGTAGATGGACCAACTAAATCTGTAAATATGGGTACCTGAGATGTAGACGGACCGAAAAAATTCATAAATCCCTGTGTAGTAGATAAATCGTCCATACCTCCATGCACAGAAACATCTGCATGAAAGGGTGTATGAGAAGCAAATGGACCGGCTCTGGTACGTCTATCTCGATGCGGAGAAGGTATAGAAGGTATGGAAGGTATCTGAGGTAAGTTGGATGAAGCACCATCTCTACGTAGAAGTTGAGTCCCAGCTGCATACATCCGTGTAGCGTTGTCCTGATACAGATCATATATCCGATCGTCATCTCGAGACACTGCCCTAGCAGCAAGACTCATGGATATAAGCTGATTACCCTGAAATAAAAGGCATTAAAAGTTTAAGAACTTAAAAAACTGAAAAAACAAATTGAAAAACATCGAAAGTAATGGTTGTTTTGAGAAAAATACTAACCACAAGATCCAGTAAAATCGGGTCTCCGACCTGAAAACCAATATCATCAAGATTGTCAATCGGTGATATCAAACGACGTGTGTGCCTCTCATACCACTCGTAGTCTCCTGGATCTGTCTGTGGCCCACTAAACTCAATAAATGGATAGTCAACGGAAGAATCAAGTCGGCCATGCCATCTATCAACATAGATACGGTGAAAACGAGCCCAATCTCTACCCCCTGCACCTCGACGATCATAAGAATGCAACTGAATCTCAATATCGTGATCAGTAGGATGTGGTGGTATATGTTGTACCCTCCTAAACTGACGTAGCACCCAATACGGACGATGCATCTCAACTCTCTCGTAAAATATAAGGGGACAATTCGACAACCAAAGCTGTGGATGCACTATCTCAGGATCAGGGGCGAGTCCACCCTTGGGCAAGGGTGGACTCAAGCCCACTCTCACTTGAAAATATTTTCACCATATTATATCCTATTTTTTAATTAGTCCACCCAGCTTTAATTGATTAGCCCACTCATCAAAGCCCAAACTAATTATTTGTTCAGCCCTCTTCATTCTAATTTCTTATCTACTACGTTACTTTTGTTCAGTCGATGCTTCTGCGTTCTGCCTAATTTATCTTCTGCCCGATTCTGATTCCGTTGAGTAATAGAGTTTCCATATTCTCCTTCCTATTCTAAGATCGAGTTTCAATAAATTTCAACTAATTAAGGTTTTCTCTCATCTCAATTTTTAGCATCAATATTATTATGTGAATTTTAGACCTATTTGTCTTTACAATTTCGTTTCACATTTGTTATGACAGAATTTATATTTTTGGTTCTATAATATGATGTTACTTTTTTCATTGGTTCTATAATATGATGTTACTTTTTTCATTGAGTGTTACTTTTTTCATTGAGTGTTAATGTATTTTATTTTAAATTATCAAACAGTTATGCTGAGATTTAAAAAGAAAAATTGCCTCCCGTCCATGAAGATGATGATTCTTCATCCAATAAAACACTAACGGACATCAACTTAGAAAGTCTTCCTGCAGATCCTGGTCAAAGACCTGGTATTTTACAGTATAATACTAATGATCGAGATCGAGTTCGTAGAGCATATTTACAAAAGGGCCCTTGCCAACCTCATAACCACGATTTCCCTCATATTTACAAAAGGGCCCTTGCCAACCTGGTATTTTACAGTATAATACTAATGATCGAGATCGAGTTCTAGAAAGTTTAATAAAGTTTGGTTCACCGAATATAGTACTTGGTTGGAGTATAGTGTATCCAACGATGCTGCATACTGTTTATGTTGTTATCTTTTCAAACCGGATATTGGAGGTCAATCGGGTGGTGATCATTTTGTTACTGAAGGATTTACTAATTGGAAAAGAAATGACAAATTGTCGATTCATGTAGGGGGTCCTAATAGTGCACACAATAAAGCTTGGGGGAAATGTGCAGATTTGATGAATCAAAATCAACATATTGAGACAATTGTTTGCAAGCAGTCTGATAAAGAAAAGGGTAAATATAAAATGCGTTTGAATACTTCAATTGAGGTGGCTCGATATCTCTCAACACAGGGATTGGCATTTCGTAGTCATGATGAAAGTGAAAGTTCGGCTAATCCAGGAAATTTTATTGCACTTGTGAAGACCTTTGGCCGAATTAATTCAGATATCGAAGCAATTATTTGATGAATGTTCCACTAAACCACAAGATGATATGTTCGGATATTCAAAAAGAGATTGTAAATGCATTTGCAATGGAAGTTCTGAGAGCAATTATAAGTGATATTGGTGATTCGACGTTTTGTCTTATGGTTGATGAAGCACGAGATATATCAATGAAGGAGCAAATGGCCTTAGTGATAAGGTATGTCGAAAAGTCTGGTAGTGTGATTGAACGATTTCTTGGAGTTGAACATGTTACTGATACTAGTACTTTGACACTTAAAGCAACCATTGATGATTTTTTTTCTCGATATGGTTTGAGTGTTTCCAAATTACGAGGTCAAGGTTATGATGGAGCTAGTAATATGAAAGGTCAATTTAATGGCCTGAAGACACTTATCTTGAATGAGAACCCTTGTGCATATTATATTCATTGCTTAGCTCATCAGCTACAATTAGCTTTAGTAGCGGTTGCTAGGAAGCACGATCATATTTCTTTACTTTTTGATTTTACTACAAGAGTGTTGAATGTTGTTGGTTTATCATGTAAATGTCGTGATTTTCTAAGAGAGAAGCAATCTGAAAAGATAATCGAGGCACTTGATATGGGGGATATTTCAAGTGCGCGAGGTTTAAATCAAGAAACGAATCTCAAGCGAGCAGGTTACATTATTTTAAGCTTCAATATTTTCTTCTTCAGTTTTATGAATGTGGCATCACTTATCTTTCTTTCTTTTTTTCTTTTTATATATGTAGGTGATACTCGTTGGAGCTCTCATTACAACACTTTGTTGAGTTTGATCAATATGTTTGATGCGGTAATTGACGTACTTGAAATTATTGGTTGCTACTGCTACTGTCGAGAGAGCATTTTCAGCTATGAATATCGTAAAGAGTAGATTGCGAAGTGGGATGAATGATGAATGGTTGAGTGATTCTTTGCTTATCTTTATTGAAAGAGATATCTCCGTCAAAATTGATAATGATACAATTATGAATAGTTTTCAAAAAATGAAAACTCGAAAAGGCAAATTGTAATTTGTAAAGAGGTTACTTGATTATATTTTGAAATGCTACTTTTGAGAGTTTAAGTTACGTTATTTTAAATAAATTTAATATTTATTCAATTGTTTTGCTCTAGTTTATGCAAAAATGTCTAATTTTTCTTTTCATCGGGCGCTGCCTCCGAACCCCCAATATACTTGAGCCCCCCGTGTAAAACATTTATGGCCTCGCCACTGCTCAGGATGCTCAAGTAAAGTGCCAAACTCAGGATCTAGTTCAATATAAGGCATCCATGTAAACTAGATTTTTTTTTTAATATATTGTTAAATAGACCACAAACATTAACGTAATTGCAGTTAACTTATAATAACCTGATCTCGGAGCATCCGATCGAGCGTCGTACGATAAACACGTATATTGTTCCGCCAGGACCGAGTGTAATTAGTAGGTCTGATCCAACTGTAATATCATATGAAAATTTGCTAAGTCAATATATTAACCTTCATATAAATAAATTATTAGTACTAAGATGTTTACCGTGCACCATAAGGAGGGTGAGGATATGCAAGCCGATGAGGATCATCTTCTACTACTGGTAGTATTACTGGAGCGAGTAAATGTATCCTCGACCATGCCCAACACTAATTATTAAACATAAAAAATATCAAAAACCGCAAGTATAATAAACTATTAATTTAAATTTTAAAAGTATTAAAAATCATAGTACCTGTAACAGAGTAAGCCCACCACCTAGATTAGTTTTCCTCTTATCCGGCTCAACAGTGCCGCATTGTTCCACAACTTCCCTAAGTAAAGCTTTAGTGCATAGCTCACGATACAAATATCCAAGAACTACACTACCCCAACTGAAAGTACGCATGGCCTCAAGATCTTTGAAATGACGAAGATACATCAACGAGATTGCACTTGAAGATGTGTCAGGACACATAACCCCCTCAAGTAGTAATAACAGTAAACACCTGGTATGTTGCTGAACACGCTGCTCCGTGCTGTCATCAGTAATCGTGTACTGTCGTAAATGTAGGGCCAGATCAGTTGCAAAGAGTCGTCTCCCTTTGGAAAATCCATCTGAAGGAGCATATCCCAATCACATCGGACAATAATCCTGCCACTGCTCCGTCGACCATGAAATATCTTGTCCAGTAACAGGTAGTCCATCAACAGGCAAACCCCATAATAGTGCGACATCCTCCAGTATCACTGTCGCCTCCCCTGCTCGAAAATGAAACGTGTGTGTCTCCGGGCGCCATCTCTCCACTAAAGCTGCAATAAGATGCAAATCGACTACGAGACGACCACATCGATATACTCCATAGAACCTAGTATCAATTAAGTACTGTATCACTCTAGGTTGTGGATCATCATCACCATCATCTCTATATAAACCCCAAATCCAATCATCACAGCGTCTCCCGCGCACAATATCATCCACGTTTGCCTATGTAATCGATCTGGATACGTGCTCTGACTGGCGGTATAGCAATGAAGTGTCCCGCGGACCATAAACATATGTGACATCCATCCTGTATAATGATATACATAGAACACTCAGATAATAAGCACAAGTGTAATAATAAATACACACTAATAAATAGAACACTCAGATAATAAGCACAAGTGTAATAACAAATACACAATAATACATAGATAGACTCATATAATAAGCATAAGTGTAATAACAAATACAAAATAATACATAGATAGACTCAGATAATAAGTACAAAGTGCAATAACAAATACAAAGTCAAACACGATATTAGAAAATGCAAAGTCCATAACAATAACTACCTAGAAAAATTGAAGTCAACATGACAAATAGACACTACTTAGTCCGACGTGAAATCTAGAAAATAACAATATAAATAATACAAAGTGCAATGAACTAAATAAATTATACTATCGGACCCTTCTTGCTTGTTCCTCTTCTAGATTGTTGTCTCGCCCGTGTTTGTGGCACATCCATCTCATTAGGAATTCGACTGCATCTTCGATCTCCTAGTAGTGTTGGATCATGAATTAGTTCAAAAGCAACATCCTCCCAATAGTGTTCACTCAACAGGGGTTGGAATGTCCCAGAATAAGTGTTCATTAGTCGATCAACAGTGTAGCAATCTTTCACATATACGGAGGAAGACAACATCCATTCACGGCACACGTGGAGGACATGACTGCAGGGGATTCCTGTTAGTAAACATTTTCCACAAGTACAAGTTCGGTCCCTTAAACTCACGGTGTGTTTGTTGTTTCCACCTCCACTTGGACGAGCTCGAGTCATCACCTCGGCAGAGAGCAGTTGTTGATTAAACCAAGTTGTGAAACATCTAACAGAGTTGGCTTCATGTGTCCGGTAAATGCCATAAGCATATGTGGACCACAACTGTCCATTCTGAACAATCACATTGGCTTCGTGGAGACGAGTAAAAAAGTACCTAACAATGCGGTTGAATGTGAGGTCAACAATTGTTGAGATGGGAAGTTTTCGAGTTCCCTTGAGAACACCATTATGAGTTTCTGACATTTTTGTAGTAAGTTGACCACAACGCTTGCCCCCATCATGTGCAAATGCCCATTTTTCTTGATCAATATCCTTCAAATAGTTGTAAGCTTCAACATTTCGAGTTTTGATCATATTAAGAATGTGGTTAAACTTCCAAATTTGAGACTCCGCTCCCGCTGTGTAGCATAGATCCTTCAAATCAACAATTTTAAAACGTTTGTTGAATTTGGAGCACACGTGTCTGAAGCAAAACCTGTGAAAAAACATTAGGGGGAGCAAATTCGGGCAACTCTGCTAAAGCTCGTAAAATTCCCGGAGCTCGATGTGAAATTACACAAACGCTTTCTCCATCTGGAATTTGAGAAATTAGATGTCTGTGTCGCATTTTAAAAAAACCACCTCCAAGCCGCCGTGTTTTATTGTCAACAAGAGCAAATGCAAGTGGTAGCACTTGGTTATTGGCGTCCAAACAAACGGCAATTAGCAACTAGTGCTTGTACTTAGTGTAGAGATGAGTTCCATCCACACTAATAACTTTTCGACAGAACTTGAATCCATCCAAGCATGGCTTGAAGGCCCAAAAGAAGTACCTGATCATCTTCCGTGTTGGAATGTCCGTTGGTTTGAAAACCCACTCAATTGTCGTACCCGGGTTCGTTCTATGGAGTGCATTCATAAACTTGGGCAATTTGTTCACTGAGGACTCCCAACTCCCGAACAAGTTATCACTGCAACGCTTCAAACCATACCAAGCTTGCATCTTCGAAAGTTGAAATCCTAATTGAGACCTCACAATATTCTATACTTGTGTTATTTTGCAAGCTGGGTCATCTCGAACGGACTGAACCAATAAAGAAGCAATGTAGTTCATGTTCAAATTCTTGTGTTCATTCGACATTTCATCCATTATGCAATTGTGGGGCCCACCATATCTCGTAATAAGGAAGAATCCTTTGCCCGATTTTTCAATTCCCCGCAACGACCATCTACAAGGCCTTTCAGGTGTGCTATGCTTGCACTTGACACTCCATTGCATCGGCTTACTTTTGACAACTGTGAATTCCCGTTTAGCAAATCGAATCGAATGGTCTCTCACCGCGGTGCAAAGGCATTTTTTGTCCTCAAACATCATCCCGAACTCAAGAATACCTCGATCGTTGTCGTAAAACTTATCATATCGGCCCCTTCCAACATCAACTGAATTTGCCGCCACTTCTGGAAACGACATCGAGAAAAATGGGATTGAGTCATACAACATCGGTTGTTCCTTTGCTTCCGCCTCGTTGTGCTGCAACCACGTCTCCCGAACATCATCTTGTACGTCTTCATCTTCATTATCGTCGTCTCCGTCATCGGATGGTTCGGAATTCACAGAACTGTTCGGCCAAAATGAGTCACCTATAGGGTCATCATCTTCGAAAATGCTCCGTCTCGGGGAACTCGACCCACCAACAAATCCCCCTAAATTACCATAGTTAATTGTATAGGGATCTCTGTGCACCTCTCTCGCTCCACTAGTCTCACAATAGTTAGGGATGCCTTGTGTCGCCGCCAGAAATTCCGGAGTCACCTGTGGTTGTGAGAAGTATGGTTCATGCAAATCAAATGCCTCTATGCTCACTTGTGGTGGGGCACTATCAATGTACTTTGGTTCAAACTCAAAAAATACTTTGATTGCCTCATTCCCTTCGTCCGGATCGATATACATTTGTAAATCTTCATCTTTTGTCATCTCGGTAATCATCTCTTTCATTCTTTCTCCATTATAAATGTAAGATTTGCAACACACTCTTAGACCAAACTGATTAACATTGACATCTAGACGTTGATACAACTTTGACAAAAAGTGTGCAAAGGACAATTCACGTTTAATTCGAAATGTTGTTTTGTGGCAATACTATATTGCACTACCCAATCATCAGGAATTATGTGACCTCCAAAGTACACGTACACTTTAACATTATTTTTAGCCGCCATCAATCTTCAAAAGATTAAGGAGATAATTAAGTCATCAATCAAGATTAATTAATAATGAGGCACACTAGTTAAAAAATAATAATATAATTAAGCACACTTCGCCTAATGTTTTACAACACCAAAAATCTTTTTTGCCCCTGCTTAAAAAATATAAATAGTACTACTACCTAGTATAAAATAAATAAACTACTAACTAACTAACTACCCACATGCTTCCTAGAAAAACACTAACCACATGTATATACAATAATTAATTAAAAATATTGGACATAATAAAAAATTATAATAATAATTTTTTTTAATTATTAATAATAATAAAAATTACCTTGGTAGGGTGAAGAACACCGGCGGCAAGGAGCAAGGAGCACGGGCGGCGGGGGAGGCGACGACGAGGGAGGC